CTTCAACCCATGAGCTCGGAATAGAAAGGGTTCTTCATTCTGCGAGACCCAGCGTTGATGAGGTCCACCCTCACTGATGTGTACATTGGGGGGGGTTATTCCAAACACGGTAAGTTAAGCAGACCGCTTTTGATTCATAGGATAGAGATGGCGGCAGACAAGCTATCCTCTCTCTCCTCAGATGTAGGGGGTCGATGCGAAACTGTTGCACTGTTGCACTGGGAGAGGGTCGTTTCCGCACGGTATGGGCTCGATCGTCTCGCCCTCCCTCACTGGTGTGTTCATTGGGGGGGCGATCCCAAATCGTATTTCACGTTAATGTGATCTGTGTAACGTGAATTACGATTTGGGATCGCCCCCCCAATGATCTGTAGACTGTACTCTAAGGGTCCGCCCGCAGGCGCATTTTGTATCCCGAGGCGGTGCCCGGTGCCGAACTTGTCGGACCTTAAGACAGCAGTGGAGATATTACGATCTGGAGGGATTGAAGGATAGTAATCTGGGGAGATCTGGAGGGCTCCCGGGTCGCCCCGGAGCGGCCCCGCGCGGGGAGGTGGGTGGAGGGCGGGCACCACAGTTGGTAGTTCTCCAGATCTCCGCGGCACGGCGAGTGGTACTGGGTTACCCACCAACCCAGTCTCTCTCCGTGGGTTGGACTTTTAGGCAGTGCGTGTGGGAGGGCAAGTTCCAACTCCACACCCTCGTCACATGCACATGCACATATTGGGTGTGAGGTAAAACCACGCTACCAGCGCTTGGTCACATCGGCCCCCAGGTCAGATCCGTCTCCTCTTTTTTATGACAAGACTAGTCTACTACGTGCCTCCCCGTCTTTGTAGCCTGGCGTTTGTGCCCCGTTTGTGCCGCGTCCCGTGCCCCCGAGTTCATTTTATACTCCCTTAGTGTAGGTAAACCATAAAAGTAGATTTGAATTCGTCCACGTACGGCTTCGTGAGTGGTTGGGGTGGCCTCAAGCATCCCCAAGGGAGCCTCTGCGGTGCCACATAAGCAGCTTGGTGATTGTCGAGACTTTAAAGGATTCGTTTGAAGAAACGCAAACAGGCCAGACACTACTATGGTCACCAGTAAACCATAATTCGACTTTGAGGGATCATATCTCAAAAAGCCGGGAGATAGCATAGCATTATTGTTGCATATTATGCCACATAAGGTCAAACTTGACCCCACAAGCATCAAGAACCCGATGCTCCGGCTCGACTGTGCCGGCACACTGCCTCCTCGCGCACGCGGCTAGCAGGCCGTCGCGGCCCGTGGTGGCACCAGAGAGAGGTCGACGCGTTGCCCCCGCCGGCGACCCCGCGCGGCTCAGGCCAGCCAGAAGGTGTGTGGTGACGGCGCCGTGGCAGGAGTGCGGAGAAGAGCTCGCCGAACGCGAGCAGCAGATGGCCAAAGTGTGCCAGCGCGAGAGCCTCGCGAGCGGGCGCAGAAGGAGCTCGCCGTGACACGATGCCGGGCGGTGGTGGTGCTCTGGCGGCTGTGCACAGTGGGCAAAGTCAGGCTGCAACAGGGCAGCACGGTGGTAGTGCCCTGCTGCAGCCTGGCCTGACATGCACAGGGCGAACAGAGACACTACTATCGTCCGGCGCTCGTCGTCGAATCTGGGCCAACTTCGACCGCCGCCACAGCTCGCCACGAGCACGCAGCGACAAAATGTTGACTGTACGGAAGTTGAGGCTGGTCGAGAGGAAGAGGCTGCCGTGCGAGCCGGCAGCAGGCTGGCTCGTCGTGGACTGCAGCGGCGACTTTTATGGGCTTCTCTGTTCATAGTAGCGTGCACGCTACTATGGTTTACCCACACTAAGCGAGTACGAGACCAGATACGACGGGCTCACACGTGATACGATTTAGGCAACCCCTGACTGATGATCAAGATAGTGTCGGTATGGCCTTGCAATGGGCCCCTCCGTACTCACACGCGGCTCGCACGCGTAGGGTAGGGGTAAGAGGGTGTGAGAGTCCTTCTTGCGGCATACGCGAACCGAAGAGAGAGCGAGAGACCCTCAGCCAAGCCGCCGCGAGACCTCGCCTGACATGCGTGGCGTGGGGGATGAAGGCGATGCTCGCCCCTCCCTCACAGTAGGCAAGGAGAGTTGGAGTATTTTCTTACTTCTACTTCGCGGAGCCGGACCAGATACTGGGACCCTTCGCAGCAGGCCTCAAATACTGGGATACTGTAAAAGATTCCCCTTTGAGATATGGCGCAGTAATAATACTTCAATACTCCGAGCTGGTACCGCGGATACTTCGATACTCGTGATGACGCACCCGGTGAGTATCACAGTAATCCATCCACGCCGGCGAAGTATCCCAATATCGCAGAGCTAAATGCCAAGTAATGATACTTCAATACTGGGCGCTACTTGGTCCTCCAGCCCCGCCGAATATCCCAGTATCCGCATCAGAGACGGCCAGTATCCCGCAGTATCCTGCAGTATCCTGCAGTATCCCAGTATCTGGGTTCGGCCCTCGAGCGATGCATTGCGCTGCGGCCGCAGTCGTACGTCCGGCAGCGGGATGCGAGGCAGCAGCTAGGTGGGGAGGGGTTGAGCCAATTGAGCAGCGTGGGCAAGCGAAGACTGCCGTAAAGTGTGTGCCCGCGCCCTGCCGGCGCAATGGTGTAAACGCGTAACATGAGCGTCCGACGCATCGTGCTCAGCGTGGGGGCACGAGACACCCAAGTCGATGGCGGGTCTGGCTGCTGGGGCGGCGGGTCCGTCGTCAATCGGATGCTTGATGCTCCGGGGAATCGGATCCTTGATGCGAGAGAAATTAAGATGCTCGAAGCAATGCTCGTCTCGCCGGTGCCGCATTCGTCGCTGTGCTTCTTTAGCAGGCGGTGGACTGTCGGCTGCGAGGACGGTCGCATTTGCGCGAGGCGAGGCGAGCATTCAGACGCCTTATCTGCGCCATGACTCGCGCCAGCGCGTGCGGGAGCTCCTGGCTGAGCGTTGAGTCCAGGCGAGTTGCGCTGGCCACGATCGCTACGCCGAGCCGAGCTGACGCGCCGAGGCGCCGGCCAGTCGCAGCCGTGAGGCATGCCACAGCAGCAGAGGCATCTGCCACCCATTGGGCGGGCAGACAGAAGGCCAGGGCAGCACTGGCAAGTGCAACGCGCCTCATGTCGGAGAGCGACCGTGCCTCGTTCGCCGCTTATGATGTAGAGTTTGTTGTAGAGATTTCACGTTGTAGAGCGCCTCTACATCGCTCTACAACGCAGGCGCCTCGTCACGCGGCGGATGTAGAGCTCTACAGCTCTACAGCGCTCTACATCTCTACAGCTCTACAGCGCTCTACACTCTACATCCTCTACACCCTCCCTCAGATGGACTCTAGGGACCTGGGGGCAGCTTTGCCCGCGGGTGCCATGCTAGGCTATGGTAGCCATTCTCCCAGATTCTCCGGAGAGGCCGCAAAAGCGGCCAAGGTGGCCTCCGCTCAAGGGTCGTTGGGATTTTCTGGTGACTCAGGAAGGAGGGGTCTGCGCCAAATAAAAATCGGTTCCGTACTGTCCGCCCCCGGCTACGCATGACACAATTTATTAGAAGTTGGGGCTTCATCTTCCGCCCGAGATAAAAATCCCTCTTGTCTCTCAGCCCGCTTGCCCATAGCCGCCGAGACGGCGCGCTCTGCTGACTCTCATCTAGCACCCTCTTGGGGACTCTCCTGACCGCTGTGGGCCTCTCCAGACCTCCTCTTGCCTATGGGAGTACCCCTCTCAGTCTACTTCCTAGGACACAGGCACAGGTTTGCATAATGCGAGCTTTTTCTCAAGGGCTATAGTGCAGAGTAGAAATGCGCATTAACTCGCACCGGGGTGTACGGGTTGCCCCTTCCTACCATACCATCAAAGTTGGAACCCAGCCCTTGCTCGCGCTCGCTAGCTCCCCTGCGTGCACATGCAGAGCCTCGACTTCTTCCCAAAGACCCAGCCGGGGCTGACGGAGCGCACCTTGAGCGGTGGCGTCATCTCGGCCGCCTCGCTGCTCTTCGTCCTCTGGGCCGGTGCCTCTGAGCTCTCCGACTGCTGGCGCGTCGTCACCGACGAGAGGCTCGTGCCACAGGCGGACACCGCCCACCAGATGGCAATTCCATCCGCTGTGCTTTCGCGGCCACCACCCCCGCGGCCCACCGCCACCGGCGCACCAGGCCCTGACGGCCAGCGCCGAGCCTCCCAGCGCCGAGCCTCCCAGACCGGACCTCCCATAGCCAGAGCCGAGCCCCCCCCGCCGCCGCCCTGCGCCGCTGCGGCAGGCGACGTCCGAGCACTCCAACACGCTGTCGATCAACCTGGACGTGGTCTTCCCGTCGACGCCGTGCTCCGAGGTTGTCGTCGAACTCACCGACGAGACTGGACGCGAGCAGCTCCGGCCCACCGACTCGCTCTCCAAGCTGCGCATGTCTGCTGGAGGCGCCGCCCGGCGCCGGGGGGAGGAAGCAGCTCGGCGGCACGTCCGAATCTCGCGCCCGCGCCTCCTCAGGCAGCCCAGTCGGCCTCCCCGAGGAGCTCGGCTTTGAGGCTCGCGCGGCGCTCGGCGTGCGGATGCGACGCTTCATGTGCGCGCAACGCAGCCGAGACGGCTAGCATCACACTCCTTCCCTGCACACCCCTGTGTGGTCGCGGCCTGTGCCGTTCTCCCATGCGCGCGCGGCTGGCTCGCGCTGCCCGTGCCACGCCCCGCGGGACGTCCCGAGCACGACGCACAGGCACATGCTGCACGATTGCATCGTCGCCCTCCTCTCCTTCTCCGCCACCTCGGGCTGTGCGCGCGACTACACGGCACTCTCTGCCCCGCATCCCTCTACCCCACGCCCCTCACTCTTCCACGGCCATGCCACCGCCACCGCCACCGCCACCGCCACCGCTACGGAGTCGGGACGGCCTGTGGGCCCTGGCCGTCACGCCCTCTCGCCACCCCAATGCAACGCCTTCTCGTCCATCACAGTGTCTGCCCACACCGCCCTGCTACCGCTCAGCCCGCCCGGCGGTGGCGGGCCGGCGGTGGGCGGCGCGTCTCCATAGTGGCCCGCGCGGTGTGAGCAGGCGCCTTGCCCGTCAGACTGGGAGCACCAGGGCCGAGGCATGTGCGAGGCCCCGTCGTGGTGAGCTCGCCGCCGCAGCCCTCCTCGCCGGTCAGACCACCCGCCCGCAGGACCTTCGCTCCCGTGGCGATGCCTGTTTCAGGTGCTCTAGCCGCTGCCCAGTCGGCCTCTCAACCCTCTCGGAACTTGCTCGGAGCCCCCTGGGGCCTTCGCGTAGGTACTTTGGCAGCTGCCCGCAGTCGGCCGGCTTCTCCGGCTACAGCGACGCGGACAAGCGAGAGTGGGCGGCGCGGTGTGGCGCTAATTGGGTGCGCCGTCCCCCGGGGGAGGAGGGGGGGGGTCTGGCGCGCACGCAGGACGCGTCCCCGACACGTCCGCGGCACGCGTCCACAGGCGTGCCTCGAGCACGGCCACCACACCTCGCGGCCGGTCCTGATGCGCGGCTGGAACGCGACGGTCGCGACCGCCGTCACCGGCGACGCGCTCCTGCGGCTGCGCGCAAAGATGGGTACCCGCCGAGCGGAGGCGACGGCGGGGGAGGCGGCGGCGGCGGCGGCGGCGGCGGCGGGACTCGGGGACGCGGCGGCGGCGGCGGCGGCGGTGGCGCAGGCGGCAGGCCCGGGCGGGGCGGCGGAGGCGGCGCGGGTGGCCGAGGTGCTCGCCACGGCGGTGCATGGCTTTGCCCGGCGGCGCCCCTGAGGCTGCGGGGGCGGTGTCGCCCTCACGGCGGGGTGGGCGGGGTGTGTAGGTGGAGTACCACTGGCCGGCGTCCGAGGCGGGCAGCACGCCAGACCACCTCCTCGCCGCAGGGCTGGCAGACACGCTCAGCTCCCGCTTGCGACCGCTGCTCGCCAACGCGCCCTCGACGTGCCCGCCTTGTAGATTCTAGCCACGAGCGGAGCCCGGCCGCTGCTGTCAGAGTTGCCCCATCTCGACCACGCGCACGAATGCGCGAGTACGCTTGCTTCTCGCTGCCCCAGGCTCGCTCCCGACGACGCGGCGGCGGAGCGGGCGGAGGACGACGCGCAGAGCCGGCTGAGGCTGGAGCCGGAGGCCCCCCCCAAATAAAGCAGGGGGCAAAACCCCCCCCCCCCCCCCCCTCTCCTCCTCAACACCCCCCTTCAAAGCCACCACCACGCGTCTCCTGCACCGCCAGAACCGCCGTTGCCACCAGCCCGGCCGCAGAGGCCGCCGGGCGGGCGGTCGGAGGCGCGCCACTCTCCACGCAGCGCGCGTCCGCCTGCAGGCGGTGGCGGACCCGGCCAGCTTCTTGACGAGCCGGTGCGACGCGGCCTCCGCCTCGCTGCGGCGGGTCGAGGCGCCGCCGCCCACACGCGGTCGGGCGGCGGTGGGGTGCGGCGTCGCCGACTCAGTGCGCGGCGGCCGTGTGAGCAGGCGTTGGCAAAGGGGTCGGACGGGGGGGCGGCGGCGGCGGCGGAGGTGCACAAGTCGTGGCTCCGCGCGGCGGAGGAGGTGGAGAGGCTCGACGACGCGCTGCACGGCTTTGTGGGCGACGAGGAGGTGTCTCGGCGGCACGGGCGTTCCGCGCGGCACGCGGCGTCTCCCGGACATGCCCGTGACGCGTGCCCGACCCGGCGCGCGTAGGCACGGGTACTCGGGTTTGCGCGCCAACCTGACGGCGATGCTCTCGGAGGCGACGGGCCTCTGGGAGGAGCGGCGCCGCCGTGAGCCGCGGCTCTTCACACCCCGAGCTGTGAGCAGGCGACGCACCTCTCGCCGGGTGAGGCGGCGCACGCGTCGCTCGCGGCGGCGGTGGAGGAGATGCTCACAACACTTGGCGAGCTCGAGGAGAGGGCGGCGTGGCAGCGGCAGCGGCACCGCCTCTGAAGCCGTCTCGGAGCGCCTCCTAGGTGAGCTCGAGGAGGGCGCGGACGGCGACGAGCGGCAGCGGCTCGAAGCGCTGCTCGAGGCTCGGATGGCGCAGTTGCTGCGAGCGCTCGAGCTCCTCTCGGGCGGCCAGGATGGCGAGGGTTGCGCCGTGTTCGGGTGTGGCCCGGATCCCTCGAGATAGGACGAGATCGGCCGAGAGGTTGTCCCGCTCCTCCCGCCTGCGGGCCGCGCGCGGGAGAGGGGACGCGGCCGCGACACGCCCACCCCTCGTCCACAGGTCGCTCTCCGCGCCGCGCGTCGCCGCGTCGCTCCGCATCTCGCCCGCGCACTCCCGCGCCGACGGGCGGGTGCCGCACGCGAGGGCCATGCCGCGCTTCGAGGCGCGCGGGGCACGGTGCGGGCGGGCGGCGTGTGCGAGCCCGCCTCTCACCCTCTCGCCGGCGCGCGTCGTGGCCTTGCCGCCCCAATCCCCCACAACAGGCGCGGCACGCGGATCGCTTCAACGCTTCGCACACGATCCGCCACCTGTCGTTTGGTGCGTCCTGTTCCCGGCAAGGTCCGCCCGCCCGGCGGCGCCTCTTCACACCACCCCGCTGATGGGAGCAGGCGCTTTCTTCCCCGGCAAGCTGCACCCGCTGGACGGCGTGTCAAAGGCGACCGGCAGCGGCGCGGCGGAGATGCGCTATCTTCTCAAGGTGGTGCCGTGCGCGCACACGGCGCTCGACGGCACCGTCACGCCCTCCTCCCTCTTCTCCGTGACGGAGCACACGAGGCAGGTGCAGTGGCGGGCCGGCTCGCGCTCGTCGCTGCCGGGCGTGCTGCTGCAGTACGACATCGTCGGCCAGAAGGTCGTCCTCACCGAGCGGCGCGGCGCGGGGCTGCTGCGGGCGGTCGCGCGCGTGTGCGCCCTCGTGGGCGGCGTGTTCACGGTAGCGGGGATCGTCGACTCGCTCGTCTACCAGAGCGTAAAGCATTCGCTCGGCAAGCAAAGCTAGGTGGCGTGTGGTTGTTGCTGCGCGTTGTGTGATGTCAGTGTCTCTTGCGACTACTTTTGGTTTATTCGGGTACCGCGCGCGAACCGCGATGGAAGATGGATCTCTTGAAATTTGAAATACGTGTTTCGCTGCTTGTTTGTCTGTGTCTCCGCGCGATCCGACGCGAAAAAAAAGAACCGACGTGGTGTGTGGTGTGTCGTGAGCGTGTCCCGACCGACACTGTGGCCACTGGGGACACCACACGCACGCGTGTGCGCGCACGTGCCGTGCTTGGGTGTGCTGCTCTTGCGCGGGAGCCCCGCCTTCTTGGCTTCTCCCCTCCCGTTGCGTGCAGCTCAACACACTCAACATAACGTGGCTTCACATGCTTGCTTCTCTTCCCTCCTGCCGCTCTCGCGAGACTCGGTCGAGGGCGCCGGCTCCGTCCCCTCAGAAGTCTTCAGACGAGCGCCCCGTGGCTGGCCCGCTCCGCCAGCGCCTTGGCCTTACCGGAGGAGGAGGGCTTACCCTTGCGCGCCGCGCCGGCGAGGAAGCCGGCGACGACGAGGGCGGCGAGGCCAAGGAGGTGCAGGGGTGCGCCGTCCGGCTTGGCGGCCGGCGTTGTCGCCGCGCGGGGCTCGGCCGCGAGGCGGGATGCGGCAGCCTCGCCCTCGGTGATGAAGTCCTGGGGGGGGGGGGGGGGCAGACGTTGAGACGCGCGTGCCCGGAGGTGTGGGAAATAGCGCTCGGCCTCTCCGCCACCGCATCCCGATCCCCTCAACCGCCTCAAACTCCCTCCCGCTGGGGCCTGCCGCCCCCCGCCCCCCTGGCCCACATGCCTCGCCACCCCGGGCGTGAGCCGAGATTCGCCGAGATCGAGCCGCGTGCCGAGATGTGCCGAGATGGCTCAGATCGAGATTCGCCTGGTCGAGCAGCCACGGAGGCTCGTTGAGCAGCGACTTTGCCCACGGGTTGAAGCTGGCCGTCGTCTCCTGCACGCCCGCCCAGAAGGGCGAGTCCGCGTACTCAGCGGGCAGGGAGGCGAGCACGGCCACCTATAGAGTAGTGTGGCTCAAGCGGCCCCAGGCGCTGCACACGGCGCGTGGCCTCTGGACGCGCGGCCCCTTATGGGTTCGGCGGGGTCGATGGCCGTTGTGGTACGCGCGTGGAAGGGGGTTCTTTGGGGCTGGCCGTTCGCGGACAGAGGTGTGTGGGGGGGGAGGTGCGTGCGGGTGGTGTGTGAGTCACCGGGTGGGGGGGGGGGGGGGGGGCACTGTCTACTGGGGGCGCCTTGAGCTGGAAGGTGTGCGGCCCGGCCTCGTCCTCCTCGTCCAGCACCAGCTCGCCGTCGACGAGCTTCTTCTTGGCGAAGAGCGAGGTGTGGAGCGAGGACCAGAGGCTCTTGGTGGTCGGCTTCACCTGCAATCGTCGAGGCATTGGGGGGGAGGGCGTTTGGGTGTGCGGCACCGAGCGGAAGAGAGAGTCAGAGAGAGTGAGAGGCGACACACGAGGCTCGGTCCGCCTCACCTCCTCGATCGAGAAGTCGTACTCCTCGCTCGTCTCGCTGCCAAAGAGGTGCGAGTCGTCGCCGAGCGTCAGCGGCACCGCCGCGCCGCCCAGGTAGTGGTTCGCGAGGTGAGTGTTCTGATCGTAGATGTCAACCTGTGCCGCGCGCGGGAGGGAGGGCGGGGTGGAGCGGAGGGCGAGGGAGGGGCATTCAGTTTTGGCAGTCAGAGCCGAGGGCGGGCGGAGGGGTGAGGGCGTGCCATGGGCGGGAGAGCAAGGGGGCAGCCGTTTAGGCTGGCAACCTCGCCTGTGCCGAGAGTGTGCCGTCCTCGAGCAGAGAGTCAGGGTACTCGCAGCACGTGTGCGGCTTGAGGATGGAGCCCTTCCCCTTGTAGTGGAAGGAGGAGGAGGCCTTGTAGAAGGTCGCCTCCTTGAACTCCATCCGCGACTGCATTGTCAGGTGCGTGCATGCGCCTGAGGACATGCTCGGACACATCATGGACGAGTCATTGACATTCTGCCGCGTCGTCAGGTGTGTGTGCGCGCGCCGCACACGCCCTTGCTGTATGCCTTTGGGCACGCCTCGCAGCCGACCCACGCGGCCGGCACGAGGCACGACGGGCTGTCGTACACGCCCGGCACGGTGAGGGCGGCAAAGGGCTGGTGCGCCACGGAGAAGCTGCGGACGAGCGAGGGAGGAGTGGAGGCTAGGAAGGGTGAAGGAGGGACGACGTGCAGTGGGTCCGCGTTGCTACGGCAGTTGGTCCGCGTTGCTGTGGACGGCGATTTGTGCGGTGCGAGGACGAAAGTGCAGTTGGTCCACACTTCGAGCGGCTCGCGCGTGGAGATTCTGTGCGTCCATCTCACTTTCCAACGTAGAGAGGGCACACAAAGAAGCCCATAACACTGTCGGACAAGAGCAGGACGAGCAGAAGCGGGCGCATTTCGACAAGGTCGCGAGCTGTGTCAGCTGTGTCGTCGCGAGCTGTGTTGTGTGTCGGAGGGGACGTCTCCGAGACTCTCTCGAGGTTCTCGAGGTGGATGTCCTTTGGCCGCGTCGGGTAGCGAGGATTGGTGTAACCCGAGCCACGGAGGCGTGTTTTCTGGCGGCCGACCGTCAGTGCACGGAGTTGCCACTTCTGTTCTCCGACTGCCCCGGCTAGTTCCGGAGGTCGTCGGGTGTGACCCCTTCGTCCCCCGAGACCTAGCGCGGGTGGGTTGGAGGGGGCTCGCCCCGTTCCTCCCCATCGGGCCGCGTGAGCGGCCTCGCCTCGCAGATTCGTTTCTCGCGCCTGGGTCAGGCGCGCGGGGCATCCCCCGGGTCGCTCGACCAGCGATCCGAAGAGTGGCCGCTATGCGAGGGAAAGAGCGGGGCCCACGGGGTACGCCTCCGTCCGGCCCCCTCCGAGGGGGGAAGGGAATTGCGGGGTCCCCACGGGCGCCTCAGTTCGGCCCTCCCGAGGGGGGGAGGGGAGCAAGGGGGTGGGGGGATCGGGGCGGTGGGGAGGGGTCTCGGTTTCATGGGTCTAATGCTTGCCTTTCGGGGAGGGGCCTCCGTGCAGGCGAGCGCAGTTGCGCGCGCCCAACGTCTTCCCCTCCTCCCCAGAGGCAGCGAGTAGGCAGCGAGTGGCGAAGCTGGGGCCGGTCCTAAAATGTACAACAACACAGAGACGTGTGAGTGTAGAGTTGTTTGGTATTGCTAAGAATGTAAAAATCTCTCTCACACATACATTGTCACACTCCTAAAATCCCCGTGAGGCGTGCCGTCCTCCCATCCCTCCCTTGGCCTCTCCGTTTTCTTTTTTCTGCAGCCAGTGCTTTTTCTTCTTTCCTCCGACGCTAGACACAACAAAGCGCTGGCGGTGGCGGCTTCTACAACCCACGGCGCACGGGCGGACCTGTCTGGTCTCCGTGCGGCCTCTTCCACGTAGCACACTGAGAGTGGCGAGCATATTGAAGAAGCAGAACACAAGGACACAGCAGCGTGCACAAACGCATAATACTCCCTAAAATTTTACTCGTGCAACAACCATGGGTCCAATGCCTTCTGCTGCTGGGGGGGTCGGGACCCCCCCCAGCAGCAGCGCTCTGCTGCTGGGGGGGTCAGACACCCCCCCCCCCCCAGCAGCAGGGTGACTTTACGAGATTTAGAATAGATCTAGATGCAGTGTTGTGTGTGTGATGTGTCACAGCACACAGGCCAGGGGGGGGGCCGAGCAATGTGTGCGGCCGCGCGCTCCTGACAAGCGCCACAAGGCAACTTTATCTCACGTAGAGAGCTAGCTCTATAGGAAACCATCTTTTGAAACGTTTCAATGTTGAGGATCATGCATCAATGTCGAGGATCATGCATCATTGGTCACTAAGCTGTGTATGGCGGCCCGTCGCCGCGACTCGACGCCGCGCCGCTCTCCCTCTCCTCTCCGCGCGTCTCCTCACCGCCGTTTCACCTTGCCGCACGTGTGCGGCCGGTGCTTGCCGGCGCACGCCTCGCACGATGGGGACGGCGTCCACTCCTTTGGCGGCTTCGGCGGCTTTGGCGGCCGCGGCTCCACAGGCGACGGCTCGGCGCTGCCGGAGAGCTCCCACGGGAACTGCACCGCCAGCGGGGCGGGGCGCCTGAAGCCACCGCCGCCGCCGCCGCCGCCCTCGCCGCCGCTGCTGCTCGCCGCGTCGGACGACCTGCCCGCCGCCCGCGCCACGCGGCCCGACGTCTCGACGTAGTCCCACCGCCAGCCCTCCCTCTCCATCAGGTGGCGTAGCACCTGCGCGGAAAGCGGAGGGCGGAGGGCGGGGGCGGGTCGGCGTGAGACGAGGCCGGCCCGCGGCGCGGCGGGGCGGCGGGGCGCGTCTCGCGGCGGCACCTCTCCGTCCTCGTACTTGATGGTGTGGCCCTCGGCGGCGCTGCTGCTGAGCACGAGCCCGCGGAACCAGCGCTTCTCAGCCGGCCACCATACGCGGACGCGGCGGCCGGGCAGCGGCGGCGGCGGGTCCTCGCCGCCCGCGCCGCCGCCGCCGGCGCCGCTCGCGCCGCTGCCGCCGCCACTCCCACTCGCAGCAGCCGCCGCGCCGGCCGCCGGCCGCTTGCGGCGATGTTTCGGTTTGCGCGTGGCGTCGCCGTCGGAAAAGACGTCGGCCTCGTACGCGCGCGCCACGTACTCGCGCCAGAGTGCGCGCACCTCCTCCTCATCCTTCATCGGGAGCCTGCCCCAGACGGCTGAGGGCCAAAAGTAAAACGCACGGCGCCACTCTCGGCTCTCAGAGCGGCGTTCTATCTCAGTAACCCCGCTCGCAGGTACTAGAGCAGCGTTCGTCAAGCTTAAACCCCACTCTACACAATACAGAGCAGCGTTTGCCTAACAAGACTCCGCTCTGCAACCTTCAGAGCGGACTCTTGCTCAGTTAAACACCGACCGAGCACGTTCGAGCGGAGTCAAGACAGTAGTGCAACACCGCTCAACATAGCGGGAGCGGTCAATTTCCGCGGAGAGGCTGCTTTCGCCTCCCTCAGTCGCGCTCTCCTCCGCTCCTCCTCTTCAGAGCGGGACTTTAAACAGTCGGGAAGGACTTCGGCCCGACGGATGGCGTCTCACGACTGTCAATGCTAAGTCTGTATTTTGTATTTTTAAAATCTCGCGCATGAGGACAGAGGAAAAGAAACGGCGCCGTCAAGGACCGGGCGCGCCCCAGACCCGGCGCGGCGTAGGTTCCAGTGTGAGTGAGTATTCTTGATACGAAACCACGACACACTCACGTAGGTTCCACTCTGACGTAAAGAGGGGAGGCACCGCCGTACAACCATCGAGAAGCCCGGGGGTGGACCCAACCGGCGCCGGGGCAGGGAGGCCGGGCGGAGGGGTTGCGCCCTGAAAGTCGAGAATCCGCTTCCGCGTCACATGCTGCGGCAGGTACGTGTTGATGCACCCCCACGCGTCGGCCATCTCGTACCCGACGGGAACTGGGGATTAGGACGGGCCCAGATGGGGAAGGGGAGGGGGGGAGGCTCACACCCGCAGCTCCTTGTCGTAGCCCATCTCGACGAGGCTCGAGGGCGACGCCGGTCAGCATGACGGTCACGCTCACTTGGACCTGAAGGAGGCGTGACGCGGGGTCAGGAAGGTGAGTTCGCACCTGTGTCGAGCCTGTCTGCTGTGAGGAAGTTGTGTTGTTTTAAATTCGTTTTTTGCACGACACTGGGCACAGGTATCAAATTCTTTTTTTTGCGGCGCACGCTCGAGAGGCGGAGCGGCGGAGCGTGGCGCGGGCCGCAGAGGTTGGCGGAGCCAGAGGCTCTGCCCTGCTGGAGGTTCCCGCTGGCGGTCTGCCGCCGGCGGTGGGTGGGGAGGGCGGCTGCCCTCGCCTACTCCTCATTCCTGGACGTGTCCTCATTAAGGCGGTCTGCCGCCGGCGGGCGCTCGGGCTTGTCTCGGGTGCGGCTGGCGCTGCGTCTTTCTTCTTTGAGTGGCCACAGGTGTGGGGGGCGGGTGGGGCGGCTGCTGCGGCAAAGGCGGAGGGCGGCTGCCTGCCCCTGCCTTCTGGTCCTGGACGAGCCCGCTTTTACGTCACCAGCGAATGTCAGTCGCCCGAGTCCGACTCGGTCGCGGTCGCTGCTGCGTCGATTTCTTCAGCGAGACCACAGGATCGGAGGGCGGGCGAGGCGGAGGCCGTCGAGATGCCGGCGCTGGCGGCGGTCGGGCGGGCGGGCGCGGAGGCTGGGCGAGGCGGCGGGCGAGACGGCGGTGCGGCGGGCGACGGGCGGCTGGCGTCGTGGGCGAGCGTGGGGTGGGGTGGGGATGTCGGGGTGGGGAGCGGGTGGGCGCCGGAGAGCGGAGTGGGAGTGGTGGTGTGACTGCTCCTGTGGTGCGGGCGACGGCTCTGAGGAAGCCGTCGCCCGCGCCTCGCCTGTCGCGTGAATCGTGTCGTGCGACCGCCGTTTGTTGTTGAATTCGTTCTTAAATTCTTTTTTTGCACAACACTGGGCAAGCCCAGTGTTGTGCGAGGGAGTTTTGTTGTTAGCTTCTTTTTTCGTGAGAGCGAATTCCGTGTTCTTGGAGCACTTGGAGTGCAGTCATTAACCTCACATCCAGGGCCGGGGAGCTCAGTCTTCAAATTCTTTTTTTGAGGCAACACCATGATGCTCTGCTCACGCCTACAGCTGCCTCGGCACGCGCCGCGGCCGGCCGAGGCGCTGGAGGCGCCGGGGCAAGACGAGAGCGGCGCTCCGTCCGAGGTGTGCCAGGCGTGCGGCGGCGACGACGACGAGGAGGGCAACGAGATCCTGCTCTGCGACGGTGAGGGCTGCAGCGCGGCGTTCCACATGATGTGTTTGGAGAAGCCGCTCGCGATGGTGCCCGAGGGCGACTGGCTTTGCCCCGCCTGCTGCGCCGCGCAGGGCTGCGCGCAAACGGAGCCCTCCGCCCGCTGGGCGCCCGCCGACGAGTGCGGCATGGCGCTCGGAGTCGGCGACAAGCTGTGGGCGTGCGACCGGCGAGGCTTCTGGGCCGAGGGCGCGGTCGTGAAGCGAGTGGAGGCGGCCGAGGAGGCCGACGCGGGCGGCGGCGGCGCGGCGGCCGTTGTGGTCAAGTTCAAGGGCTTCTCCGCAAAGCTCAACGAGCAGATATCCGTCGGCGCCGGCCGGCTACGGCCGTGCGAGGTGGGTCCGCCGCCGCAGGACGCGGGGGTGTACGTGGTGGAGCGGGTGGTGGAGGTGCGGACCACCAAGGGCCGGCCCGAGTACCTTACCACCTGGGTCGGCTACGACGACCAGACATGGGAGCCCGCCAAGAACTTTGTCGGCGAGGCGGCCAAGGCCGCGCTTGCCGAGTTTCGGCGCGCCGCAAAGGCGGCGGCGAGGGAGGGCGAGAGCGGGGAGGCGGCGGCGAGGGAGGGCGAGAGCGGGGAGGCGGCGGCGGGCGGCGGGGAGGCGGCTGCGGGCGCGGAGCGGGGGTCGGAGGCGGGAGAGGTGGACGGGGCGGACCTGCTCGAGGCCCCTCCGCCTCTGGAGTGGCCTGGGGCGGTGGTGATGCGGCGCGTCGAGCCGCTGCCTCCGTCGGGCACGTGGATATTCCTGCACGGGAACCACCCGGTGGCGGACCGGCCGCTGCAGTACATGCCGCTCGTCGGCGAGGAGGGCTTCGACGCCGACGAGGGCGCCTCCGACGCAGCCAGTCTGCAGAGCGAGGCGAGTGGCAGCGCCGCGCCGCCCTCCCCGCAGCACTCGCCCTCGCCGCCGCCGCCGCCGCGAGCGGGCGACGCGCGGGCGAGCCGCGGCGGCGCCCCGGCGACCAAGGCGGCGGCGGCAGCGGCGGCGGCCAAGCCGGCGGTGGTGGCGGCGGCCAAGCCGGCGGCGGGCGGCGGGGAAGCGGGCGGCGGCGCAGCGGGGAGCGGCGGCGCGACCGACGGCAGCCTGCTCGCGCTCTTCTGCCGACGCTGCTTCACGTACGACTGCTCGCTGCACGGGGTGGGCCAGCCGGTGCCCCGGTGGAGGTACGCGGAGGCGGGGCCGGCCGAGGAGGCCGAGCCGGCCAGCGCGCCGCTCGTCGCGTCCTGCACTTGCCAGCTGAGCCGGTGGGGGCAGCCACCGGCGGGCGGCGGGCAGGGGCCGGCGGAGGTGCTGCGGCCGTACGAGGCGGGCCGGCGGACGGGGCTCATCAGCCTGGAGCTGCGGCACAAGCAGCGGAGCCAGGTCGCGAAGGGCGAGTTCGAGACCCACCCGACCGTCGCGTGCGACTGCGACGGCCCTTGCGACTCCTCCAACCCAAACTGCGTCTGCGTCGCGAGCGCGAACTTTTGCGAGCCCTTTTGCGCGTGCGGGCCGCTGTGCGCGAACCGGTGGAAGGGGTGCCACTGCAAGAAGGGCGACTGCCGCACTTCTCAGTGCCCCTGTTGGGCCGCCGGACGCGAGTGCGACCCCGACATCTGCCACTGCGCCGCGAGCGAGTTCGCTGACGCCGGCTGCGAGGCGTGCATGCCGAAGTGGGGAGGCGGCGAGGAGTACTGCATGCCGTGCGACGGCGGCGCGGCGGCGGCAAAGGCGGACGTCGAGGCGGCGGTGCCGTGCCGCAACATGGGCCTGCTGCTGCGCGAGCACAAGCCGCTGCTGCTCGGGCCGAGCCAGGTTGCGGGCTGGGGCCTCTTCTCGCACGGCTCGATCGAGCGGCAGGAGCTGGTGACCGAGTACGTCGGCGAGCTCGTCTCACACGAGGAGGCGGACCGGCGCGGCCAGGCGCACGGCCGGCGGCGGCGGCGCGCGCTCCCCACGGAGCCCTCCCCTCAGCCTGCTCGGACCCTTCTCCGCAGGTGTACGACCGGCGCGCGTGCACGTACCTCTTCAACCTCAACGCGGCGCAGGTGGTGGACGCCTGCCCGAAGGGGAACATGTCGCGGTTCGCGAACCACTCGGACAAGGCGAACTGCGACACGAAGATCATGACCGTGCGCGGCGACCAGCACATCGGCCTCTACGCCAAGGAGCGGATCGGCCGCGGCGAGGAGATCTTCTTCAACTACCGCTGGGACGAGGCGATCCGCGAAAAGCACGGCTTCGAGGCGGGGCGCGGCGGGCCGCGCAAGCGGCTGCGCGAGGGAGGCGGCGCGGCCGGCGGCCGGGGCAAGGGCGCCCGCCTCGTCCAGGTGGAGGGCGGGGCGGCCGACGGCGCGGCGGGGCTGCTGGAGCATGACGCGGCCGGCGTCGACCACCGGCTCGGCGGGGGCGCGTACGCCTCCGGCTGGCGCATCCGCGAGGCGTACCTGAACGCGCGGAAGAATGGCGAGTGGAAGTACGTGTGCCCGGCCGGCCAGTCGTTCCGCTCCCGCTCCGAGGCGGTGCAGGCGAGGGCGGCAGCGTAGTCGATAAGCGAGGACGCGGCGCGAAAAAGGAAAATACGTCCGCTGCCTCGAGGGCCGATCCGGCGCTACACGCATTCGGGGCTTCTCTGTCTATATGGCCTTGTACACGTATCTGGCATAGTATCTCTCCGCGTGTCCCTCTCAAAATTTCCCGTAGCCCGGTCGAACACTGCCCAAACAAATAAATTCCCCCTTTGAGCTTAGAGGTTTTGGGATTTCGCTCCGAGCGACGGTCCAACGAGAATCGTCAAAATCAGGCAATCAAGAGACCGGTAGCGCCAGCATGTCGGTGCGTCTTTCTCATGCTCCCGCGCCCCCCGCGCCCGAACTATGCACGGGCCCGGCTCGCCCGCTTGGGGATCCACCCGGCACATCCCCGCCTCCCACCTGCCGGCTTGCCTGCCGTCAGTTCACGGGGATCGCCCTCAACTGTGGCAGAGGGACAAGCCAAATTTCACACCCACTCCGGTCAACGCGGGTACGGAGTGAGAACTTGAAAAACACCTGTATAACCCGGCAGGAACTCCACACAGGTGCCGCACGCCATGTTCCGGCCGGGCGCGTACCGCCGCGCGCTCAAGCACCTCACGGCGATGCTGCACGTCGTTGGCCACACGACCGCCCTCCAGCTCAACCGCCGGCAGCGCTTTGAGACCTTCGGCCCGTGGCCGCACGGCCCGGCGCGCGCCTAGGAGGGTGGCGCCACCCGGCGACCCCGCCGGGGTTTGTCGCGCCCACGGCTCGCAGAGCCGTGGGCGCGACTTTGTAGTGTGTATTAGTTAAGTAGCCGCAGTCGGCGGCAACGCTCGAACTGCTGGAACGGCCGGGAACTGCCAGGAACTGCCAGGAACTGCCAGGAACTGCCAGGAACTGCCAGGAACTGGAGGGTAATTCGAGTGAACTCGGTGTTAGTTGTGCCCACTGCGCCTCACCTGGGCCACTCGTGAGCATGCGGGAGTAACCTGAAGCACGTCCAAAACTCGAAACACCCGTTCACACCCGTACTCGAAGTGGCTGTGAAATTTGGCTAACAGGCTCAGCAACAGAAATCCACCACTGTTGGGACTGCCTTCAGCCTCGCCTCACAGCCGACCTTCTGGTCGCACGCGGGTTCTTAAGGGTCGCACATGCCCGCCATGACGTCTTCCAACCGGCCGTTCGCAGGCGGTAGCTTCGCACGTCCCCGACAACTCCGAGAATGACCCGCACGAGAAGTGCGCGTCGGCGGCGCACTTTTCCTCCCAGGCTGTGGCTGCTGCCTTGGCCACCCTGGCCTCCCTCGAGGGGTCGCCAGGACCCGCCGCGGCCCTGGCGCGGCCCACGGGCGGCTTGATGCTCATCGACGCCTTCACCCTCGTCGGCCTGGCCGGAAAATACGCCAGCCGCTCGGGTGCCGCCCGCCTCCTAGAGGCCGAACCACCAGTGCTGTGAGTATTGACGCCCTCCCTGCACCTCAGGCGCGTCCCTCGCCCTCGCCGCCGCCGCCGCCGAGCCCGCCGCCGCCCTCGCCGCCGCCGCCCTCGCCGCCGCCACCGTCGCCGCCACCGCCGAGCCCGCCGCCGCCGTCGCCCCCTCTGCCGGCGCCTTCTCCGCCCTCGCCACCCCCACTGTCGCTTTCCCCCCACCAAGCCCACCACCGCCGTCGCCGCCGCCGCCCACTCCGCCTCCGCGTCACCGCTGCCTCCCTCGCCGCCGCCCCCAAGGCCGCCACGGCCGCTGCCGCCGAGCCCGCCGCCACCGTCTCCGCCACCGCCGAGCCCGCCGCCGCCATCGCCCCCTCTGCCGGCGCCATCTCCGCCCTCGCCACCCCCGATGTTCACTTTTCCCCCCACC